CCGCGCCGCGCGAGGGAAGGAGCCTCCGCGGCCGGAGGCAGAGGCGGCTCCGCGGGGAACGCCGCGGAACGCGGAGCTGCGCAGAACCGAGCCACAGCACCACGGGCTGGCAGCGCTTCCAAAGGCAGGGGCTGGCGCGCTGTACTGCACCTGAGCGGGAAAAAATCCCTCAGTTTTGATGAGAATTAGGCAAGAGCGAGGATCACTGCACGGATCACTACCAGAGAGGGTTTTCCCGTTTCCGGAGCAGGCTCGGCTCCAGCGGATTCCCGGCGGCGGAGGCCAGGTGCCTGGAAGGAGCCGCAGCGTTAGCAGCCTCGCCGCCCAACTTCTCCCTCAAGGAATCGCCCATGCTCCCGGCTGCTCCTGGGAGCGAGGAGCGCAGCCCCTTCATGCCGGCGCCAGCCCCGGCTGCCACCCGACCCACGGGCGAGAAGCATGTCCGATGACAGCCTGCTCCTGAGGCAATGTAGGGTAAGATGCATCTCTCCCTCTCCCTCTTTTAAACCTTTCCGTAAAAACCTGCTATGAGCTGATGTCTTTAGTGAGCCCCACAGAGAACATTCATCYGCCGTGGTTAAAGACGCTAATAATCCTCAGTAAATTGGGGTGATCTGGACCAGCGTAAAGGCAAATCCAATTTTAAAACTAGGTATTTCTGCTCAGGGAGGCTTTATAAAATAGCAGGTTACACACAGTATAGCTGCATGCAACCCAAAGAGCAGGATTTTTCAGGGAATGGGTTTTAGAGGGTGTATGGCTGTAAACAGAGAGCAGCTAAGTACGAGGGACTACCTGTCACCATCCCTCCTGCAACAGAAGGGGGAAATAAATGATACGTGCATTTGTAAATATCTATCTCAAGAGCATATATTGCACAGAATTGTATTTATGAAAGCACTACTGTCATGTGACATACTGCAACGATAAGAAAACCTTTATAGTTGCAGAGACAGACATTTTCTGTTCAATGTTTACTGTTGCATAGTTGCCCAAAAGCTGAATTATTAATCAAGGAAGAGGCTGAAACCTCACCTGCAATTGCCTACTTATGCCTCCCTGGTCAAAAAAAGACTGCAATATTGCATTAAGAAGGCATATTTTCAACACTGAAAACCAGCAGACATGAATATTTTTAACTCTTAGCACACTGTTGCAGCTGAATAATTAACAGCTAAAGACTCACGTAGTTTCTCCAGGCATTTTGGAGTATTTGACAATGCCCAGACACCTGCTTTCATCGAYTGGATGCTTCAGAAGCAATCTTTAAATAATCAATCTTTAAATATCTTTATTCTAAAGTGTATTAATTGGCCTGAAGCATCCACCTAGAATCATTTCTCTAGAGAACAATCACTTCACAAATACTCCTCTGCTGATGCGTACCACAAAAAAGATCCCCCCAGCTGAATACACCCCAGTAAGCAGAGCAGTAAGCCGTCTTTTGTAAAATACGGAGCTGTTTTTRAGCAGGAGCAAAGCTGCCTGCTTGTCAGACCAGATTTACCATTTGCTCTCTCTCTTCTAGCTAGCTGCCAGAATACTGGTGAAAATACTTGCAGAAAAAATGGGGACCTCTGCCATCACAACACTGGAAGATGTAAAAAGGCAAGAGGAGAAAGAGGAGAAAGAGGAATCTATTCTAGCACTGCTTGGGATTGTTGGAACTGTGCTCAATTTATTTGTTATTGTTTTTGTGTACATCTACACTACACTTTGATGGCATTTTTGAACATCGAGCGTAGAGCATACAGTGCTGAGACCGGCGACAGCAGGAAGGATTTCTATATTTAACGAAAAAAAGAAAGAAAAATACACCGAAGAGATTGTCAAACACATTCCAGAGCAGAGTAGCTGGCTAAGGGCACTGCATCAATGACTGCTAAATATATCCGAGAGCCCAGTTCGGGTGCTAAATTATGTAAATGAAGGCAGGCAATATTCAACTTCACACTGATGACAGATGACGACCAAATAGTGGGAAGGCAGATGGCACCGTTTCATGGCCAGCGAACACACGAGACAAGAGACGGACGCAGACAAACACCCAGAACAATCACAACAAAAAGAAGAGACGGATTAGATAAATATATAAATGTATGTATCAGCCCGTGATGCTTCCTATAGTTTTGTGTAACATGTCTCTGTATATCTGAGACCATAAARCAAAGCAAAAAGAAAGGATTTTATTTTTAGATTGCTACAATATAGGCTTCCAATTTACACAAACCTATAGTAAGTGTGGAAACAGAAGCACTGCTATACCAAAAATTGTAATACTACAAGTAAARTTTTAACTCTTGATTATATTCTGCAGCATTTGTTAGTCTTGTAGAAAGCTGAGAAAGGTTAGATATTCTTGCCTTTACTGAATCTGTATTTGAAATAATAATGCTATACTAATGATGTGCTTTTCTAATTAAAAATCCTYTAAAAGTGGTGTGAAAAATAAAATAGTTTTAGTACTTTTCAGATTTATTCAAAATTACAATGGCACACTAGCACATGTTCTGCAAAGGAAAAGATCTTAAGCTACATTTTCCATATTAGAATGTGTTAACTCGAATCAAMTACAATTTTCCTGTTTTTATTCTAACGCTCATTTTCAGGTAAAATAAAACATATCACACAAAAAATTCACTGTGTTGTATGTAAAAGTCTTTATAGCTTTGCCCAGAAGAGTTTACTATCTCTGGACCTGGTCCTGAATATATTCCCCCCTTTTGCACTGTGTAGGATTTAGGCCTAGAGTTGGAACTCTCCTATACACTTCCTGGAACATGCAACTAGACTATTAAAATTGATTAGACTGTTTAAATGTTTTAAATTAAACAAAGGTACGGCTTTGAATTTGAGCCAAGGCTGCAGACCGTCTGAGCTAACGCAAGCTCTTGCATACATGACTGCATACACATTTTTCTCCTATTGGGAAAGCAACTTTGAGAGCAAAGGATTAAAAACATAGTAGAAAGTACCAGGGGCAAAAGAAAAAGAAACATTAAAGAAACACCATCCTTATGGATTAAAAGGGCCACAGAGGAWCAAGAGAGGAACTCCATTCTGAAAGAACAGCTCGATTCCTTTTCCCACGTTGCAACGTGAACATGCAGGCCCTCCATAACCTGACAGCAAACAAGCAATTCCACARATGAGAACTTATTATTCTAAAGAASTTGTTTTTTTAATCATCTGCTCAACTGGGTGAGCCCATGGAAGTCATTCCTGAATGGACCCACACATAAAATAAGGCCAGGGATCTACAAGAGGATGAATTTGGCCTTGCTCTTTCAGTCAGTTGCAGCACTCTGCCATTTCAGAAACTCTGTTAAAGCCACCAATTTATGAAAGGACAAGGTGGAGGGTGATGCATCCTGGTGCCGTCACTCTGAGTCACTAAGGGCTCATCCAAGGCATCAAGGAACAGGAGGAAGGCTACGCTGGAAGAAAGCAGGGACAGCTTGGAGCATTCCTTCATTATCCACAGCCTACAGCAGAGACATTTTCAATATATGAGCTCCACAGCATTCTGTAAATCTGCCTTCAAAAGGAATTAGGCAGATTGTGTTGACTTAAGACTACAGAATAGAGTGAGTATGYATGAAAGTGTTTTCAAGTAATTTCTTTTATCTAGATACTTATGGATATTATCACAGCACTCACACAATACAAGGACATTTGACATGGGGCTTAAGCCRAGAACTTAAAAGAATCTGAAAACTACTGAGAAATAGGAATTCAGGAAGTCCAGGTAAAAATCACTGCTGTTCATTTGATCCTGAAGTTACCAAAAGCTTGTCAGATTTCTGCAATAAGCAGTTTTAGGCCATGTTATTTCAAGGCGTAGCAGCACTTCTCCCCTGAACTGTGAATCACCAATGGGCCAGCACTGGACGTGGATGCTGCACCTTCTCCTGCAAACGCTGCAGCAGGGAAGCAGACACTGCCTTCCTAAAACTGTAATACACTGCAGCAGAGGCCACGGATCACTCTTCTACCTGAGCACAGGTTCAACTTATATGGAGACTAGTCAGATTTTTTGATTTGAGGAGCTATTCGCTACCTACCTAAAACGCCACTGTACTCCTCATTTCACAGGCAGTACTCACCTTCCCTAAAATTCTTAGGGCAATACTGTCATTAGGGAATGCCCTGGCATACAATCCGACTTGGTTTCAAAGCAGAAGTSTGGTATCCTCTCTTCCCTGATAAGAGCAGAGTCTCTGTACTTATGTGGGTCTAGAGAGTCCATCTTTAGCTAAAGAARTGCCAATTCCCAGCTCCAGGGCCTATTCCCTTAGTCAAATGTGCACCCTAGAGTCTCCCTCACTCTGTCTCTCGCTCTCAAAAAATATCTGAACAGCAACCACTTTTTTTATTTGCTACAGTAAAAACAAAAGGATGCAAGTGTGGGGAAAGCTAAATTTCATGTACAAACTCTGAACGCTCTGCAAAGTCTCTTCATACCTTCGCACTGGTCCTCTCAGCTTTCAGGAGTCACTTTCACAACTTCTTTCTTCCTGTTGACTGAGCCCAGCTGTGGACTGGACTTCACAGACAGCAAAGCAACACTATACCATGCCTTCAGAATGGCTACAATGGCTTGTAGCTACAAGAAGTTAAATACCCTAAATTAACATCAGCAGGAAATCAAGCACAGTTCAAAGCTCTGAGGTGGAGAGTGGAGGCCTGAAAACCACAACTTTTTCACCAGACAAAACCTCAACCAGCCAAGGTATTCCAAAACAGGCAGGAAAGAGAATGCAGGGAAAGGATGGATGTTCACCTTGAACCACTGCTCTACAGTACGTACATATTAAACCTCTGTGAACTTACTGTTCAGAAGGAGGTATCAGGAGGAAACAGCCCCACACTTAACGAACCCACAGCTCTGAGATGCTTGGAGAGCACCTGCTGGAGAGCAGCCCCRCAGAGAGGGACCTGGGYGTCGTGGTGGATGGCAAGGTGACCATGAGGCAGCAGTGTKCCCTGGTGGCCAAGAAGGCCAACGGGATCCTGGGGTGCATTAAGAAAAGCGTCTCCAGCAGGTCGAGGGAAGTGATCATCCCCCTCTACTCAGCCCTGGTGAGGCCACATCTGGAG